AAATGACAGCTGGTTAAAGCAGCTTGACATTTCAAAGTGCTTAAGTATATATAAATATTATGACCAATCTCATAAGTGTGTTGGAAAACAAGAGAGGTCCTTGGTTTAACAGTTTGCTATATCTTGGTTTTATCCTCTGAATTCAGAAGAAATAGGATAATTAAAGACATGTAGTTGAACTCAACAGAACCAAGATCAGAGGTTAATACTGTGAATGCATATTACCATGTTGTGCATAAACCTCTGGCTCAGATCCTTGTAGTTTGATGACATGACAGATACCGCTCCAAATTAACTTTGTGTCAGTAGTAATAGCATGTAGAATATCCATCACTAAAATTTTGTTTTGCCACTTCCTTTTCTGTAACAGACCATGTTGGGGCAGAGGGAACTCTCAGAAATCAAAGTAGGTCAGGGACAGGTCATTTCTATACTCTTGTCTCATAGGAGTCAAACGGGCATATCTACTATCAAGCCTCTACTCCTGAAAATTCTCTTGACTTTATTTTTTAAACTTCATTCAAGCTACTGCTTATCCTAAACATGTATCACTCAGAAGGGCTAAACCAGACTCAGTTTTGAAGGTCCCAAGAAGGGCTCTTTCAGGCAATCTTGGCTTGTGTGCCTGCCCTTGGGGGCAGGGGAATAGATCTATTGGAGTTTCTGTGCAGCTCTCTGTGGGCAAGAAAACCTTGGGATGACCCAAGTGAAAAGAATAGGAAGCAAGATTAATAAACAAAAGTCACAGTGATGAAGTTTGTTATTAAACAGAACAGATTAAAATTATCGGCCGCACAGAGTTCAAGCTTTCCCATGAGGCTTGCAACATTTCTAAAAGGCATTAACATCAATTAGTGAAGAATTAACTCAGGAACGTGGAGGTTGAGTGGGGACATGTCCTCTGTGTGTGAGTGTAGATATGGGGAGCAGAGAAAAGGCTGTGCCAGTCTCCCGCAGGTGCGTGGTTGGCGTAGATTGAGATTAATGATTTTATTTCTGATTTTTTTTACTTAAATATTTTTTATTGATTTCAGAGAGGAAAGGAGAGGGAGAGAGAGATAGAAACATCAATAATGAAAGAGAATCATGATTGCTTTCCTCCTGCATGTCCCACATTGGGGATTGAGCCCACAACTCAGGTATATGCCCTGACTGGGAATCAAATGGCAACCTCCTAGTTCACAGGTCAGTGCTCAACCACTGAGCTATTTTTTAATTTTTAAAAAAATAGTACATGCACATGGTACAGAATTCAGACACTGCAACAAAATGAAATGAAAATTAAGTCATCTTCTCACTTCAACTCCCAGTCCCCAATTCATTCTGAAGAGTCAATAATTTTTGTAAGTCCTTCTATGCTCTGTGCATAGACAGGCATTTATATACAACTTTTCCCCCCAACACAAACAGTAGTATCATATGCAACATCTCCATTTTATGCATAGATAGCATGCAAGTCATATTATTCTAAACCTTGTTTTTTTTAACCTAACAGATTATAGTTTCATTCCTTTACTTTCCTCAATTCCTTTTAACAGCCACATTACATTCTGTCCTATAGATGTGAAAATTCCCTGTGATGGACATTTAAGTTGTTTCAAATCCTTTGGTTCTATAAACCATCATTCAAAAGCCCTGAAATCACCCTGACACTCTTCTCTCTCTCTCTCTCTCTCTCTCTCTCTCTCTCTCTCTCTCTCTCTCTCTCTCTCTCTCTCTCTCTCTCTCTCTCTCCACACCCAGTGTGTGGCCAAGATTCTTGCCACCTCCACTGCCATACCCCAGCCACTTCTGACGTGGCTCGCTGCATTAGCTTCTCACAGGTCTCCCTGACTTCACTCTTGCCCCCTTCAAGTAAGTCTTCACATGCAAGGAATGTGAGCTGTTCTCATCATAAGAGAAAGGCAAACTACAATGAAATGTCATTTTCCACCTATCCGATTGTCAATTTTCAAAAAAAAAATTGATAATATAGTGCTTTTGTAAGGGCTGTAGGATTATAGGCACCCATGCATTACTGGTGGGCATATAAATTAATTCACTCAGTTTGAGGAGCAATTTGGCAATATCTATCAAAAATTAAAATTATGTAGAGCCTCTATGATCCACCTGTCTCTTTCAGGGAATTCATCCTTCAGATATCTTACAGAAGGGCAAAATTATGTACATGATTTAAAATAAACATGATTTAAGCCTTGCCAGTGTTGCTCAGTAGTTGAGCATCAACCAAGGAACCAAGAGGTCCCTGGTTTGATTCCTGGTCAGTGCACATGCCCAGGTTGTGGGCTTGATCCCCAGTAGGGGGCATGCAGAAGGCAGCCAATTGATGTCTCTCTCTCTCTCATTGATGTTTCTATCTCTCTACCCTCTCCTTTCTTCTCTCACTAAAATCAATTTAAAAACCCCCAAACAGTTAAGCTTTAGCTGGTTTTCCTCAGTGGATAGAGCTTCAGCCCATGGACAGAAGGGTCCAGGGTTCACTTCCAGTCAAGGGTATGTACCTTGGTTGCAGGTTCCCCAGCCCTGATCGGGGTGCTTTTGGGAGGCAACCAATTGATGTGTTTCTTTCTGTCTTTCCCTCTCCCTTCTACTCTTTCTAGAAATAAATGGAAACATATTATCAGGTGAGGACTAACAACAACAACAAAAAAAAACAGTGAAACATGATTTAAATTAAACAATGGCATATCTGTACAATTGAACATTACACAGCTTTTGTGAGCTGATATGAAAAATGTTACAAGATAGTTAAGGGACTAAAACAAAATGCAAAACAATATGTATGCTACAATTTTTGTTAAGAAAGAAAGAAAGAAAATTATGTTTTGTTCTGGGGCAGAAAGCTGGGTGGTTATAGGATAGCTATGAGAGGAAGATGATAATGTATTAATATATACCTTTTCATTGAACTTAATATTTAGTTTATACATTGAGGAGAAAAAACATTGTTTTTAAAGAGTGATCTTGCCTAGCTGATGTGGCTCAGTGGTTAAGCATGGACCCAGGAACCAAGAAGTCACTGATTTGATTCCTAGTCAGGGCACGTGCTCAAGTTTTGGGCTCCATCCCCAGTAGGGGGCGTGCAGGAGACAGCTGATTGATGCCGTTCCTCTCTCATCAGTGTTTCTCTCTATACCTCTCCCTCTCTCTCTACCTAAAAAAATCGTATTTAAAAAAATAAATAATGATCTTTACAAAGTCAAAATATGGGCATATGGCTTCTCTGTTTAGCATCCTTTTGTGACTCCCTTGCATTAAGGAGAAAACCCAATCCAGGACACATGCCCCCACTTGGGCCAACTTTTATCTGTCTCCCCAGAGTCTCTTGGGGACTTCTTTCTTGTTCCCCACATTGCAGCCCTGCTTCCAGTGCCTTTAACATGCCATGTCCTTTTCCACCTCTAGAATGAGAAAGTATATGCACCTTTGTTTTTCCCTGCTGCCTGAAATGCTTATTTCCTTTGCTTATTCCCTTCTTTTATCACTGACTTCCACTGAGAAAATGTTCCAAGTTTAAATTAGGTTCCCTTATTAGCCTGTCTCATAAAAGGATGCAATTACATATTTATTTGTCTAGATTTTACTTAGTGCCTGCTCTCAGTACCACTTTTTACTTTAGCAGAAGGGATAGTGGAAAAACTCAAGAAATCTGAGTTCTGATCATTCAACTGCCTGACTGTGGACTTTCAGAGAATCGATTAATTTCTCTGGACTTCAGTTCTCTTATCTGTCAAGTCAGAAAACTAGATTAATTGACTTCTAAGGCCCTATAATTTATAGTATTGAAATACTATGAGGATATAATATAAAGTGAAATATAATAAATGTTCAATGCTGGTTATATTCTTAATATAATTCTAAATATTGCATGCTTGCATACAAGAATTTTGAATTATAAATGGCAGTTTAATTGACCATTTTCTTCTGAATAACTTTACATTATGATTATTTCCCACAGTATAGTTCCTTAATTCCTTCCTTACCTTTTACAGATGTCTCAGCTACCTAAATATCCAGATAACATTCAAAGATGAACTTAATGTACAGACAAGATAGTCTTATATGTCAAACTCTTATTGTTTTCTTATAATACTCTCCTTACCATATTTTTATAAGACACTAAATTTTAGCCAACAGTATCATTTGAGTTATTAGATCATATAAGTCTTTTCTCATTCTTGTCCCTAATTAAATTATAAATCCACTAGGTGGTGTATATGGACAGAGAGAAAAGTTAGTACCTTTTTCTTCTCCATAGCTCAAGTTTTAAAGTTCTGTTTAAGAAGGCTAACCATTTATGATTATGTTTTGCTTTTTGGAGCAAGGAGAAGCTGTCCCTATAAATAAAAAATCCACAAACAAACAAACACACAACCAAAAAGGAATTCCTACAATAAAGTTTAAGGTTTCCCTTGGCTGTTAAAAGAGTTAATTCTATAAATTGAATATTTAAAATAGAAAAATGTAGTAAATAAGTACAATGTTATTCTATTAATGTGATGAAAATTGTTTGCTTTCTTATCTCTTTCAGCTATTTCAGTTGTAAAAATAACTTGATTCTATTCCATATGAATTTTTAATTGTCAAATTATTCCTCCATTTATTGATTCTTAATTATGAATTCTGGACATTGCTTTAACGTTCATTTTCTTTTTCTTTTTTAATATATTGATTTTTTACAGAAAGGAAGAGAGAGGGATAGAGAGTTAGAAACATCGATGAGAGTCATCGACCAGCTGCCTCTTGCACACCCCCTTCTGGGGATATGCCCGCAACCAAGGTACATGACCTTGACCGGAATCAAACCTGGGACCTTTCAGTCCGCAGACTGACGCTCTATCCACTGAGCCAACTGGTTTTAGCTAACGTTCATTTTCTGAAGAGCTTAATAGCATCCTGTGTTAGAAAATGAATCCTTTGTTACAGAGGTTATATTATGCCATTAATCAAACCCTTATATGGTAAGAAGAAAATTGTTTTAATTTTTTTTTTCTCTTTAGCACCTGGTTTGATGGGAGTGGTTGGAGGTCGTCCAAAAGTGTGAGTTTATTGATGATATGCTAAAGTGTTGTTGTTTTTTAAATATATATATTGCTCCCCTCACATCATTTTCTCACATCATTTTCTGGATAGGGGGTGAGAGCAGGGCAGGTGTGGGGTCCTAAGTCTGTCCTCCTGGCTCACCTTGTTCATTAACTCTCCTCAGACTCCTGGGAGCCTACGGAGGCTCTGAACAGTAAGCTGACCTTATCTGAGAAAAGTAAGCTGACCTGAGCTGATCCTGGATGACTCAGGAAGGGGAATTGGTCCCTGAGGTTAAAGTTCTCATGAGATAAATAGGAGTAGAAAAATAAGGCTGAGCTAATCTGGTTTTCCACCCACTAATTTACAGCAGGGAAAATACAATTTATTGACAAATAATGGAACCTTATTTAGCTTCATCTAACAAAATTAGAGGAAGATGGACATCTCATTTAGGTTAGGACTTCTACCAGAATTGGTAGTTCTTTTCGTAAAAAAACAACGAAGTAAGTTTGTGTGCTGTAGTAGAATTTTCTAGCTGTTTTGTGCTCTATGCTTTGGCAATAAGACGTGATATGTTAAGATTACTGGGTTCCAGTATATATTTGTGTCAGTTTAATCAAGAATGCATGGATTCTCTTTCAGTCTAAAAGTCTGATAAGGCAGAAAAAGAGCTTCAAAAGAGTTATCTCGTACTGTTTATTCTTTTCTGTCCATTCTCTCCTGAACCCTCTACATCAAAAAGGGTTTCTCTCCTATTGGTCTTTCAGAACTGCCCTTGTCAAGGCCTCCCATACCATTATTTTGTTTAATACAAAGGTCGGTTGTTATCATCTTACTTGCACCCTGAGCATAATTTGGCACTATTGGCCATGATTCTCCTCCTTTAAATGCTTTCTTAACTTGGCTTCCAAAGCACTAGCTCTCTGTGGATGTCTCTTGCCTTGTCAGAAACTCCTCCATCTCCTTTGCTGGATCTTTCTCCCTCTCCCCACTTCAGAACACTGCAGTGTCTCAAGGCATGGACCTCCCTTCTTTTCTACCTACACTTGCATCTCTGATGAGTTCATTTTATCTTTACCTTTAAATACCACCTTTATGCCAATGGCTGTCAAATTCAGTTCTCTAGCTCCTTTGTCTTCCGTAGTCCTCAAACTCACATCCTATCTGTTTACTTAATAACTCCCACTTGGGTGCTTAGAAAACATCTCAAGCTTAACATTTCCCAAACTCAACTCCACAATCCCCATCCAACCAGCCTATCCTCTTTTCAGCTAATGGCAACTTCAAGCCAAAAACATTCATGTCATCCCTCACTGCTTCCTTTTCTCATGTCTTATATACAGGCTAGTTCTGTGTAAAAAGTTGTCAGAAGTTCTGTGTCAAAATATGTCAAAAGTCTGATAACTTATCACCCTCACTATAACCACCCTAGTTATAGTCACCATCATCTCTGCCTGAATTATTGCAATTATCTCCTAATGGGTCTCCCGGGTTCTAGTTCCCACTGTAATCTGTTCTCAAAATAGAGTGACTGTTTTTATTTTTAAGTTTTTTTGTTGTTGTTATTGACATTATTGCAGATGTCTCCTATTTCCTCCCCTGTTTTTCCCACCTCCATCCAGCCCCCACCACTTTCCCCTGGCCTTCCCCACTGTTGTCTATGTTTATGGGCTATGAGTATCTGTCCTTTCTTTAAACATGTAAGCCAGATGATATCACCCCTTTGTTTCAAACCTTTACTCTTACCTAGAGTAGATGCTGAAGTCCTGAAGATTGTCTAGCAGCTTCTGCCCAATCTCTGTTCTCCAATCTCCACCTTCTCCCAGGCACCATACTGGCCTCACTTCCAGGTTGCCTCAAGGTCTTTTCACTTTCTCCTCACTCTAATTCAAATGCTCATGGCTTTTTTCTAGGCCAGTGTTTCCCAAACTTTTGACATATGTCTACCTCTTCTATAATTTTCATAACGCTGAGTACCCCTCGTACTCATGAGAATGTAGAATTAGGCACAGCTAAGCATGTTGCAGTGCATATCCCCACCAAACTCCGGTGCAATGCATACCCCCACCAAACTCTCCCCGTACTCCTAGGGGTACGCGTACCACACTTTGGGAAACACTGTTCTAGACAAAGTGGTCCCCGCATCTGACCTTGACAGCCTGCTCCCCGGGCCTCTCCCACAAAAGGGGCTGTGTTTGCGGTTACGGCCTTTCTGCTCTGGAGCATTGGTCAGCCTCTCGGAACCTGCCCCTGCATGGCGGGCTGCGGGCCCAGGCACTGCTGGCTTTACCCAGATGCCAAGACGCCACATTTTCTAATACACTTAGGACTTGCATGGGATACAATGGAGAGAAACTAGAATTACCTGTGGAAATGAGGTGGCATCCCTTTGGGAAACACTGCTCTAGGAGAACAACCTGACCACACTATTTAATATTACCTAAGACCCATTAACACTTTCTGTCGCCCTGCTGTGCTTTAATTTTTTTGGAAGGTATTTATTATCATCTGACCTACTATCTATTTTACTAATTTATATTCTTTATTATTTTTTCAAATAAATTTTCAATTTCTTGTTCTCTCTCTTCTTCCAGCACCCCCATGAGACAAATGTTGGTACCCTTGAAGTTGTCTCAGAGGCTCCTTACACTATCTTTATTTTTTTTTTTAATTCTGCTTTCTTTTTGCTATTCTAGTTGGGTGTTTTATGTTTCCTTATATTCCAAATCACTGATTTGATTGTTGGCTTCATCTAATCTACTATTGACTCCATGTAAAATGTAAATTTTTCATTTCAGTTAATATATCCTTTATTTATGACTGGTTCTTTTTTGTGGTTTCCATATCCCTTTTTATGCTGTTGAAGTTCTCATTAAGTTCATTGGGCATTTTTATAACCAGTGAAGTCTGTGCCTCCTAGCTCATCTGTCTCCATTTTGTTTAGTTCTTTTTTTCTGGAGTTTTGTTCTGTTCTTTCATCTGGGACATGTTTATCTTCTCATTTTGGCATCCTGTGTTTATTTCTAGGTATTAGGTGGAGCTGCTACATCTCCCATGCTTGGTAGAGTGGCCTTATGTAGTAGGTATTCTGTATGGCCCAGCCTCCCCCATCACCCAAGCTGGAAACTACAGGTGCACCCCTCTCTCCCTGTGCACTGTGTACACCCTCCCATTATAGGTGAGACTTGGTTGCTGTTGACATATCAATGGGATCTGCTGTAAGGATCGGCAGGTACCACGGACCTCCCACCACCATGGAGGATCAAAAAGTCAGGAACCAAAGAATATGTACTGTAGTTCCATTTATACAAAGTTCAGAAAACAGGTAAAAATAAACTCGTGTTTGAGGATACACGCTTGGGTGAACTATAAAGAAAAGCAAGGAAATGATTTTCATCCATGTCAGGATAGTGATTACCTCTGTCAGGGTGGTAGTGATTGGGAGAGGCAGGAGGGAACCTTCCCAGCTACAGATAGCAGTCTGTTTCTTATATTAGTGGTGATTATATGGATGTTGTTTTGTGATAAATCATCAAACTGTACATGTTTGCTCCTTGACCTTTTCTCTGTAAATATTATACTTCACTATAAAAAGGTTTAAAATATTTAAGGATCCCCAGATAGATGGTCCCATAAACTTAATCTTATATAACACACAATTTAATAATAACTTACTTTGTCTTTAGTTTCAACTCTTGGTCAATCCAGTCCACAAATATTCAATGCTTTCTCTAGGTCTGTGTTTCTTTCCTGTTTACTAGTATAACTTTTATGGGTTTTTCTTATACTTTGTTGTCTTTCCACATTAGATAAGTTGATTTCCTTCTGACCGTTGTATTTGTTTGGTTAAACTTAAATATTAGATCACACTAGAGGCCATTTATATCTGTCCATGTCTAGAAATTATTGCCTGGACCCATACAGTCTTCCTTTTGGTCTTAAGGAGACTGAATGAAGGAATGGTGAAAATCCAGAGTTGTACTAGAAAAACAACTTTTTCATTCAACTGTTAGTGACCCACTCATGCTTGGCTTTTGTGTATATACAGGCACTTTCTGACAAATAAATATGAGTGCTTCTTAGTATGCTCAAAGGGAAATTGACTGGTGTATATAGTCAGTAAGAAAACTAGGTAGAGGTGGGTCAAGTATGACAAGTGAGTGGAGGTCTGGAAACCTCGCCTCCCTTTTTTCTGAGCCCTCAGATTTGTAAATCCAATGTTTATTGTCCCTTCTTGTGTATTATATTCTAGATCTCCTGTTCTAAAACCATTTTTCTTCCTGTATCCCAAAAAAAAGGTTAAGGTAAGAAAAACTCCTCAATCTGCTTTAGTAGTATCTTAATTATACTTTCAAGCATATGTGATATTGGTATTTTTTGGAAAGATTAGTTTTGACAAGTACTGTTTAACTGTACCGTTCATTTCATTAAAAGATAAAAACTGTTAACGGTCATGGTTGCAGAATGGGTCACTCTAATTACCTGAATGTTCCTATTATGTGAAGATTAACCCTCCCCATGAAGTGAATCTGTCTTGACTCAGATGGATAGACTACACATTATTGCATCTGCATTTTCCCCCCAGAGTTACAAGATTGTACTGGATATTGTCTTGGTTGTTCACTTTTAAATATATTGCACTTTGCCAGTTATCTTCTGTCTGGGAATCGGATTGCACTCACAGTGAAAATATATTCATAAAGTGTAAATGTCTCTGATAATTTAAATTAAACAGAAAAAAAGGAAAAATAAATATTTCTAAACCTTCACACATAAAACTTTAGGAGTCATAAGTACTCTTGAAACAATGAATTTATTCAAAAAGTGATTGTCAAAATAATCAAGTGCTTTTTGAAAAATTTTCAGCAAAATTAGGGAGTTTTTTTTTTAAACTAACATTTAATGCTAATAAATTATATGAAGGGAGGGATCATATCTATCTTATTTACCACTATAGCCCAGCACAATACTGGCACATCATAGGTGTCAAAAATTATTTTTAATGAATGAAGCTCATTGTGTTAGGCAACATTATGTATGCTATTTTATTTAATCTTTATAGTAATATTAAAAGTTACATTTTGCTATCCCCATTTTATTGATGAGGAAATTGATTCTCAAGGAGGAGAAAAGAATTCTCCAAAGTCACACAAACACAAACTAGAAAATGACAGATATGAGAATCAAACTATGATGTGCCTGACATTTGACAATCACATCTGACATTTGACGATCACACTCATTTGAGCAAAGACAGCTAGTTGCCTTCCCAATAGCCATTTCCCTCCTCATCTTCATTAGAGTCCTGATTTTGTTTTAGTGTCCTATTCCCTCAGATGACTCAGGTAAATCTTGATTGGTCTAAGCCAAAATAGTGCTCCCATTGTTCATGCCTGCCTGTGACCTGGCTGGGTCATTGAGATTGGAGAGAAATATTCTTTTTCTTTTTTAAATATACTTGTATGGATTTCAGAGAATGGAGAGGGAGAGAGAGATAGAAACATCAATGATAAGAGAGAATCTTTGATTGGTCCCCACTAGGGATTGATCCTGCAACCCCGGCATGAGCTCTAACCTGGAATTGAACCATGACCTCCTGGTTCATTAGTCGACACTCAACTATTGAGCCACACCGGCTGGCAGGGAAATATCCTTATGGTTGGCAGTGGGGCCAGGGTTCTAGGAAAAGATCTTTCTTTCTTCCTTTCTTCCTTTCTTCCTTTCTTCCTTTCTTCCTTTCTTCCTTTCTTTCATTTCTTTCTTTCTTTCTTTCTTTCTTTCTTTCTTTCTTTCTTTCTTTCTTTCTTTCTTTCTTTCTTTCTCTCTCTCTCTCTCTCTCTCTCTCTCTCTCTCTCTCTCTCTCTCTCTCTCTTTCTTGTTTTGTTTGCCTCTTTTACAAAGAAACACTGGGAAAAGAAGACCTTTCTCTGACTCCTAAGTGTTGCTATAGGGGGATGTGAGGCCTAGAGCTGTTGAAGTCTTCTTGCTGCCACGAGGGGAGCTAGGAGACCATCTTAGATGCCTAATGTGCTGCTGGGCCCCCAGTGTTGCTCAATAAGTGGTAATTGTCAATCATGTCCTTGCATTTTACGCAGGTAGTTACTTCAGAGCTTCAGCCACCAACCAGCTAGCTGGAGTGTCCAGTCACTATCTTTCTGACATTGTCAAAATTAATTACACCTCAATTTTAAAGATCTCTTTTCTAAATGGACATATAAAATGAAATGTTATTCTCATTTTTATAATTATTTTATGAAAATGGGATGTCTTCACTTATTCATGAATTCACTATTTACTGGTGCCAGTTACTGGGAAGCAATGGTAAATGTTTGAATACACACAAAGAAGAATAAAGAGAGACATTCCATCAGTCTAGTTAGGAAGGAGAAGAGTCAAGGAAAGGTCAAGGAAGTCTCTACACTGGAGGTGACAAGAAGTGACATTTGAACTGAACCCTAAAAAGCCAGAAGGAATTATCCAGGTTGGAAACAAAAAAAGGGCATTTTCTGCAAAGGAGGTAGCATAGAAGATGCATGGTTCTGAAAGAATATGGCACAGTGACAACAGTACAAGTAATTGAGTACAAATCTAGAAAGAAATCTAGAAAGGTGAGCAAGGCCCTGGTCACAGGGGGCTTTGGGGCCAAGCCATATATATCAGAAAGCAGCAGGGAGTTACTGAGGGTTAAATAGTAAAGGAACATGATGGTACCTGAACTTCAGCAACATCACTTTGGCAGCAGAGAAAAAATGAACCGAAGCTTTTAGATTCAGGAGATATTTAGGAAGTGGTTTAGGTAGAACTTGGTGACTAGGTATGAGATATGAGAAAGTAGGGGGTAAAAAATTTGCAAGAAATGCAGAGCTGGCACGGGGCCCCGGAGGAGGCTGCCAGACTGTGCTGAGGCCTCAATTGAGCACAGAGACCTGAGATAAGGCTCCAATGCACATAGTTGAGTGGTTTTAAGAGTAAGAAGGGCAGGGTTAATCCACATCTGGGTAAGTATTGCAGAAGGAAAATGGAGAGAGAAAAGTGAGAAGTTGGATGTATTGTTTATTTATTTTATTTTATTTTTTTATAATGCTGCCAGTGTGTGCGGCAGGTTACTCTGTAGTATTCTTTTTCTTTCTTTTTTTTAAAATATATTTTATTGATTTTTTTTACAGAGAGGAAGGGAGAGTGATAGAGAGCTAGAAACGTCGATGAGGGAGAAACATCAACCAGCTGCCTCTTGCACACCCCCTACCGGGGATGTGCCCGCAACCAATGTACATGCCCTTGACTGGAATCGAACCTGGGACCTTTCTGTCTGCAGACCGACGCTCTATCCACTGAGCCAAACCGGTTTTGGCTTGTTTATTTTTTTTAATGTGTTTTTATTAACTTTAGAGAGAGAAGAAGGGAGAGGGAGAGAGAAAGATAAAAACATCTGAAAGAGAGAAACATTGATTGGCTGCTTCCTGCATGCCTTTTAGTGGGAATTGAGCCCGCAACCCCGTGACCTCTTGGCTCATGAGGCGATGTTTAAGCAACTGAGCCACACAGGCCAGGCAGAGGTATTATTTAAAGAGACAGGTGGAAGGACTAAACCAGCCAGAAAAATGTCTAATACATGAATACTTCAGTCCAATTCTGGTGGATAAGCAGCTCCAATAGGAACAATGAGGATAACAGGCGCTTATGGTAAGAAAGTTGAGCAGTGTGGTTAAAGATGTTGCAAGTGGAATAGCTCCAAGTAGTAACAAGGGGAAAAGGATGAGTTGTGGAGGTGACGGTTACTAGAGTTGAAGCCAAGGTGTTGGACATTGAAAGAGTCATCTAGATAGCAGATTTGGGATGGAGGGAAAAAATCATAAGCCATGTTCCAAAGTCTCTGATACATGTCAGGAAATGATGAGAACAAGAAGGGATGGAGGATAGTAAATTTGAAACATGCAAGTTTCAAAGGGAGGATTTTTATAGGAAATTGGAGGAAGGTTGAATTGCCAAATGCTAATAGTTATTTAGCACTTATGGTGTGCCAGCTTCTGTTCTAAGTGATTTACACATACTAAACACCTATGAAGTAAGTACTATTATTATCCCCATTTTCTAGTGTGGACACTGATGCTCTGAGACATTTAATAACTTGCTCAAAGTACATGACCATGATTCCTATCTAGGCTGCAAAGTTCACACTCTTATCCATGCATGTCACTGACCTGTCAATTCTGCTGGACAAGCCCAGCTAGCTCCTGTTGGGTAAGTGGTAAGTTCAAGAACAAATAGCCTCCATTGAAGAGTGTAGGGAGGAGGTAGTGTCTGCAGTGGGGAGCCATTCAAAAAAGGCAGAGCATGACTGGTCTCTGATAGCATCCATTTCTCTATCCTTTGTAGAGTCCATTTCATTTAGTACTTAAACATAATAGTGTGCCTTTGAACTATGTGCTAATATGTAAACTTCCTCAGGCCTTTTCAGAAGTGGGTGTGGTATACTTTTAAAATAAGTAGTAACATTAATTATTGACTATAAGTATTTGATTATGAATTCATTTGGATCTCTCAGAGAACTTATACAACATTCTAACCTAGAATGGCTAAAAAGAAACTAAAATATGCAATCTGGAAAAATACACTGCTCTACTTTTTTTCTGGCAAGTACCCTTAAACAAGAAAAACTAAGCAGCAGTTTTAAGTGGGCTAGACAGGATGGGAGGAGATTAAGGTTTCTCTTTATTTAGATGGAACAACATGGAGACAGAAAAATAATAATTCAGGGGTAAGCACAGAATACCTTTCCAGCTGGCAGTTATTGCTTGCCTACTCTTTACAGCATGGTTCAGCTTCTCACAACACCTTCATTGGTCTTGAAGAAGATAAAAAATAATTGCAAGGAACACTTTGGAAATAACTAAAACTCATACAGTTTAGTACATTTATTGAGAGTTTGTCTGTTGCAGGCGCTGGCTGTGCTAGGCATTGGGACAAAAAGAAGAAAAAGACATGGCTCCGCCCTTATGTGCTTATATAGATGAATGCTTTTAAATAAGTAAAATTAAGACATCCTATTTCCTGCCACAGTGTGACTTGACTGTACATGGTTGTGTGAGCCATGTTCACCACACCCTGATACAAAAATGAGACTGACTAGCTATGACACAGAAAGCTCCATTGTGAGGCTCCGGCACTTGAGAGGTGTGCCTCAGATGAATTCTCTGAGGACTGGGTGAGGGAGTTGGAAATGCTCTTTCAGGGAAATTGTACTGATGAGGCAGCCATTAATATACAGGAAACAAAGAGTCTTTGATTCCAGCATCAGCCTCAGGGCTCTACTTGCTAGTGCTTCTTCACCTTAGTTTGCCCCAGACTATCAGAATTCATTGTCACTCTCTCCTCCCCATCAGCAAGCAGAGGCAGGACTGAGATCGGAATACTTACCCAGAAGCAGAAGAGAAGTTTGTAGGTTTTGGGTTGGTTGGTTTATTTGTTTGTATGCATGTTTGTTTTGCACTGAGAAGAATGTAAAAGCAATATGCTTCATGTAGTCCCATAAAAGAACTTTTTTAAAAAACTAGAATTAGTTTCAAAATCAGAACTTCTAAGATTGAAGTTAAGAACTGACCAATTAATATTCCAATTAAACAAAATTATAAGTACCTTCTTATTTATACAATCTTTTCCCTCCATTTCCTGGCTTAACAATTTTTTTTCAGATTGATATCCACTTGATTAATGGAGAGCATATGGAAACCTTCTATGAAGATCTCACCTTTACACAGGACACATTGGCTTCACCAAATTTACCCAACATAGCTGATGACCTAAAAGGTATGTTCAGGCTCTCTGTTTGGTATGTCCTGCTGAATCAGTTATTCTTTCCATTTTTCATTACATTTATTCTTCCAGTATTTTTAACATCTGTAAAGATGATATGGCAAGTATGTAGGACACTTTGGCAGAAGTCTTTGGGGAGGTGTGAGGGGAGTGTCTCAATTGAATATTCACCAGCTCTCTAGGTATGCTCTTTCAGGGTCATGGTGTCCATAGATTAGCTGGTGCCAGGGCAGGGGATCATTAGTCACCTAGAGGCCTGGTGCATGAAATTCATGCACAGGGATGGCGGGTCCCCTCAGCCCAGCCTGCACCCTCTTCAATCCAGACCTCTCAGGAATGTCTGACGGCCGGTTTAGGCGTGATCCCGGGGATTGGGCCTAAACTGGCAATCAGACATCCTTTTCACAATCTGGGACTGCTGGCTCCTAACCACTCACCTGCCTACCTGATTGCCCTTAAGTGCCCCCACCATAAGCCTGATCACCCCTAACCGCCACTGCCTGCTGGCCTGATCACCTCCACTTGCCAGCCTGGTTGCCCCCAACTGCCCCCCTTGCTGACCTAGTCACTCCATGTAGCCTGCTGGTCAGTTGTTTGGCATCCCTCACTAACCTCCCTGCTGGCCTGGTCATCCCACACAGCCTGCTGGTCAGTTGTTTGGCATCCCTCACTAACCTCCCTGCTGGCCTGGTCATCCCACACAGTCTGCTGGTCAGTTGGTTTGGTCATCCCTCACTAACCTCCCTGCCAGCCTGGTCACACCACACAGCTGCTGTGTGGTTGTTACTGTTACTGTTCAGTCATGCTTTCTGATCATGAGGACCCTGGCTTTTTATATATATATTGGTCCTGAGGCAGCCAAGGAGTCATTTGTCTGATTTCGTTGCTTTTCTGGTCCTGGAGTTGAAATATAATTGAGGCATAGATGTTATCTCCTAGGGAGGAAAAGTCAGGGGAGGAGAAGTTACTCTGGGGATGAAGTCCTTGTTTTTCTCAGTTTTTCCCCTTGCTAGCCACCCAGGGCTTCCCACCCTGGGCACCTTCTGTATCTGGCTGTAAATTGCTCAGCTAGTCGTTGATTAACACAAGCCCCCTAACACCACAATTCCTGTTTTAGTTACTGAGGAAGGTTAGTAAGAAGCTAGAATAGGCAAATCAACGAAATCTTGGTAACATGAATTTGTGCATATTGTAGCTGTGCAAAGTGAGAATTACCAGAAAAAGAGCCTGGCCCTGAGCAGATCTGCCTGGGCCAGGCAGTCATGTGTGGGTTCCTGACTTCATTCAAGAAAGATTTCACAACATTAGTCCTGGTGATTTTTAGAGACATTTATGAGAGCTGGGGACAATGAAACAAGGAAGAGCCTAGGATAGAAGAAGCAATAGGAGAGAGACTAGGTGGGGAAATGAGACAAGATGGGGATGCTTTGGCTCACTAAATCAAAGAAAAGGGGGCCTTGGAGACAGGTTCAGGGGGTTAGCTCAGGGTGAATTGCCACTGCCCACTGCCCTGGTTGCAAGTCTCCTGAGGTCCTTTGAAGTTTAAGAGACGCATGCCTGTGGGGGAAGAAGAGGTGGGGCAGGAAAGGATCCTTCTTCTTGAGAATTTTTAAAGACTGAGGGTCTAGGAGGTCTTAGGGGAGGATCTCAATAGAATATTTTTCAACTTTATGCTAATGTACCAACGTGAGATCAATTCCCTTCTTGTGTACTTGGGTGTGGATGACAAGTGGCACTAATTGGATTTCTGCTATTTCCCTGAGTTGGGTAATTTAAGCTGTATTTCCTCTGGTTGGGGAGAAGTGCATACTATTTACTCTTAAGTGTATTATACTTGGATACAGAAGATAGGATTTTGCAATTTACTAGATGGCTGTAACTGCTTGGCCCTTTATCTATCTCAGTTTCCCTATTCTGCTTGTCTTGGCTTACTAGCCTGTGCCATTAAGAATGCCTAAATATTTACAGGGGTTATACTATCATTGTCCACATGCTTCTCAGCCTAATTTTAATTACCTTATGCTTATGAAATTATCTTTGAAGATACGTTACAATTGAGAATTTATTCCCACTTGTTTGAAATTGTTTTCTTGCTCTAGCTGGTTTTGCTCAGTGGATAGAGCATTGGCCTACATACTGTAGGATCCCTGGTTTGATTCCAGTCAAAGGCACAAGCCTGGGTTGCAGGCTTGATCCCCAGTAGGGGGACGTATAGGAAGCAGCCAATCAATTATTCTCTCTCATTATGATGTTTCTGTCGCTGTCTCCCTCTCCCTTCCTCTCTGAAATCAATAAAAAATATATATATATTTAAAAGGAAAAGAAAAAAATGGCTTTCTTACTAGTTTATTTTTAGGAGCTCTTACTGGTTTGTCATATTCTTTACCTTGATCTTGGTGAACTGGTAATTATGTCATGAAACCCTGCATTAAATTAAATGCTGTTCAATCTTAGTGAGTATATAGACAGTTTTAGTCTCCCGTGAAGATGAGCTACAGAGTCTTAAAGAGTTATTATTCCCACAAAATCATGATAAAGATAAAAAATATGAAATTTTCTGCTTCCCATTTGTTGAACAAAAGTGTAGATTTTTAACTTTCAAGCAATTAAGCAGTTATGCTCATTTACAGTGGTATGAATATCTCAATTAACATTGTCATCTACTCGTTTTATTTTTGGTTTTAAGCAGAACATACGTCTATGCTTCATAAATGTTTAGTGTTCTTAGAACTGTGAAGAAACACATATCCAACCTAGAGTGTTGAGCCTTCCCAAAGGAGATGATTAGATTGTGAACAATTAAGCTGACCTATGTAACTTTCCTGTTAGAACAACCATATTCCCCATGACCATCTTCAATTTCCTTATATGCCTCCATTGGTAGATCTACCAAGTGGCTCACAGACATATCGCTTAGAAGATCTGGCCTACGCAAGAAGTGGGGACAAAGGCAACTCTGCAAATATAGGTACGTTTTTGTTTATAAAAGCCATTTTTTCCACATCTCTAGAATTGGTTTCAGTCACTTAACAAGTTTTCATTTGGATTCAAACCGTGGAAGTTTTGTTCATTGCATTGGTGAAGGTATATCGAGTTGTCCAATGCCAACTAGCTATTTTCTTACTGACATAACAAAAAGTGTTCTTCAGATGAACTGTGCCTTTCAATAATATATTTTCACAAAGAGATAAATAATTTAAACATACTTGGGACCAGAAAATTGACTCCTATATAATATTATAGTATTATAAGGCATGTATTTTATGAATTGGCCTGTTGACAAGAGCTCCCTTTTAATCTCCTTTTCCCTAATGTTCTCTAAATAGAACAATACTTTATTATCACACTTCCATTTTTCCTGATTTGTATATATTTCCTTTATTTATATATTTTTAAAGAATACCTCTCTACCTCTTAAAAATCCTTTCTCCTTTTTCTCTTCAGAAATTGCCAGATCCTTTTCTTTTCTCCTTAGAATACCTTCCCTGATTCTTTTTCCTTTTTAATCTCCTGGAATACCATCTACTCATCTCCTTGCTGAAATGTCAATACCCAGACTGTCAATTTAAATGGACTGTAAATGCCTTTGTCTTTTAGTAAAAATAATATATCTAAAACCAGAGTAGACCTAAATTTCCATTGTCTAGTGAGATTGCAAACAAATAACAGGTGCCTATATCTGAAATCTTATAAACAATGACTCCATTTACACTTTGTCTATTCCTGGAAGGCTATCAGGATTATGGCCTCAGGCAGTTGGTGTACTTCATCTTCACCATTACCCGCTGTATTTATTTGAGCTGTTTGAGCTGAGATAATGAAAAGAAATGGATTAGCCAACCTTTTATTTCTGAACATTCCCTGGATTCTAGGGAATAGAACATAGGGCCTAGCACAATGATTTTCAGCCTTTTTTATCTTAGGGCACACATAAAGTAATTACTAAAATTCTGCGGCACACCAGAAAATATGTTTTTTGCTAATATGACAAAAAATAGGTATAATTTTGATTGATTTACAACAACAACAAAATGGAAATACGGCAACAATTACCTACCTGTTTTGCTCCAAAATGACTTTTTAAAAGTCAGGTGCCTTTACTTGCATGTAAGCATTTCTGGAATCAAGTATTAGCCAAGGAGATGCACCCTTACTTTGTGATGAACCAGTAAGTTGCAATTCCATTATACCACCTATATATTTATGCTTCAAGACAGGACATTCATATCAGAGGGCTATTGTTGTGTTGGCTATTGTAATTTTTCTTATTTGACAACTTAAGGGAAAAAAGGTCAGTGCCCCTGACTAAATAGTCAGTTATTGTATGTTTTTAAAATTTTGCACCACGACAGTTAAATAGAGCAGTGAGCATGATTGTCAAGGTCAATGACTTCTGAAATTTAAAGTCTATTGAAGTTAATATTCTCACATGTTTTGTTTGATTTTGATTCATCTTCCATCCTTTCTTCTCAAATTGCAACTATTTGGTTTATACTTAGTTTTAAAAATTGAAAAAAATGAAAGTAAATTTTCTTAGAATTTCATAATGCCCTTTGAAATCATTAGCATTGCCAGACAAAATAAGGCATGCTTTGTTAAATTTGAATTTCAATTAAATAATGAATATTTTTTAGTGTAAGTATGTCCCATGCATTTTTTAGTTATGTCCTAGGTTAGACATATCTAAATCTGTCAACCCTAAATTAGAGAAACCCTATATATTGCTAAAGCAAGGAGAATAACATTTACCACTAAGAGATTCACTTTGATGGCAATAGTTTGTCCACTCTCTCTCTTTAAATCCCCTTTCCCCTTCATCATTCCATAATCAGATTAAGATACTTCAAATTAGTGAGTTATTTTGATCAATCTTCAGCATATGTGGTTAGTAATATGATGTTTTGTATACAATAGGCATCATAGCACGGCATCCTCTCTACTACCCATACTTAAAAAAATTTCTAACTGCTCAAGCCATAGAAGATTATTTCCAACATATTCTGCATAAAGAAGAACTTGGAGAAAATTCAGTAATAAGGTATGTTTCAACTTAAGTGATTGAATTACCACATTTATATTTGGGGCTTATAATAGTTGAGCATATTTATTTTGAATTAGGAGATCAATGGCTTTTATTTTTATTCTAGAACTTTTTTCTTTTGCCCATATTATGGGAAATACAAAATAACAGAAGACATGAATGCTATCTTTCAAAATGAATTGGTGGTCATGCTGAATTGACACGCTTTGAACAGTAAAGTGACAAAATTTGAAGCAGTTAGAAGGCAACATAAGACTCTTTACCATATGCTATCGATAAAATTTGATGATCCAAACATCAAACCTAGGAGATGGGAGAAAACTGGGTGTGACATGAACTAGGAAAAAATGTGAGAGATAGTATATTGGCCTTTAGGTGTTACCTCAGTGTGAGAATCTTAATATAGTTGCATTTAGTTCTTATATGCCAGAGAAATTTATTAATAAGTAAAATGTAAATAGTCTAATTTTCTTAAAATTAAAGAATTTTTTAAAAGTATATGCAATATAATCAAAATATGGGATAATACATTTTAAAACTAAATTATTTATGTACTACTTTATATGATTTTATATATATATATATATATATATACCATATATATATATAAAAGAGTTAATATGCAAATTAGGCCACACAGTAATGGGTCACTGTAATGGGTCACACAGGCATGGGGCTCTGGGGGCCCTGGGGCTGGCTGAGCTGCTGCGCCACCTTGGGCAGCCCCTGAGTGGACACAGGCAGGGAGGCGGGAGAGGCTGGGATGGAATTCAGGTGCAGGTCCTGGCTGCCCACGGAGCCTGACTCCCGTGGCGGCCTTGGGGTGCCTCCTGGCACAGCAGGAAACAGCACCTCCTTGTGTGATTTCAATCGCGCACTGGGCCTCTAATGTTAAATATTTTTAAAGGTGATTGTTTTCCATGAAAAAAAATATATATACAATTTTTCTTTTAATCAGATTTCTATTTCATTATCTTTAATTTCTATTTAGTTTCTGGTAGCTGACTTTTAGAAATTAAGATATCTTAACAGTTTCATCTAAGTACAGAAGACTGACATAATTAGATGAATTTATTTACTATCCAAAATGAACAATCAAAACATTTAGGGTTAAAGGTGGTACAATATATGTTACAACTTAGATTTTGGTGGTTTTTTTTAAGACATTTTACTTTATGCAATCTCTTAGTGTTTTGATACCTAGCTCCAGATCTCCATTTCAAGCATAGATGCTACTGCTTCTATATAAATAATCTTTTCTGTAGCCTTAATATGTGTTAAGAACCTGCTTAAAACATATTGCAAGTTTTCTTTGTTTTGTTCATTAGTGTTTTATGCGTGACTAAAAGCAACATTGAGGTTCGACATCATTTTTGACACTTCCTTCACCCTAAAGTAAAGCCACTGGCACTTTCCACACTGCAGGTGGATCTTTTGACATGTCTTGACTTACTTTAGATGTTTGCAAATGTCGGGTCAATAGCTATGGGAATGGAGAGTGCTGCTACACTTTGATAAAGGGATTGCGAAGCAAGGCATTGCAGTTAGGTTTATGCAAGAGTTTGGGGAAGACAGGCAAGGACCAATACCAAAGAGATCATTATCAGTGTTTTGAGTGGGAGGTGTATTTGAAATAGGCTGAGGTTGCAACTGAAGAATCACTGGACCAAGGTGTAATTGAGGGCTATGATCCAGTAGACTTGGGTCAAAATAGGGTGAAGCTATTGGCAGGTTGAAGCCCATTGGCTTAGTCAAACTGAGGTCATTATCAGATGAGAATTTCTTAAGGAATACGAGACAGCCAGATCAGCAGAAGCTGAGGTCTGGCTCTGAGATAAGTATCAGTTCCTGTAAGTTTATTTTAATAAGGGACTATATTTAACTTAGACTTTTTCTTTTTTTTCAATCCTCACTCAAAGCTATGCTTTTATTAGTTTTAAAGAGAGAGGAAAAAAAGAGAGAGAAAGAAACATTGATTGGTTGCCTCTCATATGCATTCCGACTGGGGATTGAACCCACAGCATAGATATGTGCCCCTACCAGGAATCGAACCTACAACCTTTTGGTTTAAGTAAGGGAATCGCCTGTCCAGGGCTACTTAGACCTTTTCTCTGTTTGGGAAAATAAGTCTTTATAGATGGCTCTGTCATTACGTTAGTATTTCTAAGACTGTGTCTGTTGGGCAAATCATCAGCTGTATTTTCAAAGTACCCAAACTATGTTTGTGAGGGATAACAGTCTGCCTGGGACTCTCAGCAGGGAGCCTCTTTGTGGCTCAGTCCTCTGATTTACTTTAGCCTCCTTCCGGAATTTTTACTCTGATTCCTCCCTGGGCAAAGGGTCAAGCTTATAAAACCAGGCTTTGGATCAGGGTTTAGACATACATAGCCTATAAAAATGCCTTATTTGGCGATAATTAATCTCCTGTGCAATTGTATTTGGCTCTAATGTGCTATGTGTGTTTAGCAATTGCTCTTACTGGAAACATATCTATTGAAGTAGGTTGAGGATGATATACATTTCTCAATCAATGGGGGGGGGGGGCTAAGAATATTTCTTTTATTATCTCATTAAATTTTTTAAAACTATTGAACTTTGTTATTAAGTCCCTAAGTGTTCCTGGGGAAGGTGATATATTAGTATGATGCAATTATGCTATAATGTTAACCCATCTAATGTCAGCTTGTGGGGGGCTGTTTCTTTGTTTTCCTCAACCCACGCGGAAAATGACAGGTTCCTGAGTGGAGGAGCTGGAGTTAAGAAATTAAAGGAAAAAATGAGACCAGGCACAGAAATAGAGATAAGCTGGGACCCGGGTGGGGGGGGGGGGGGCTGTCACTCTGATGGAGGGACAGTCACACCCACCGCAGACAACACAGTGCATTTATTTATTTCCAAAGTGGGGGTTAAAGTCAAAGGAGTTTTGGGTGTGCCCAGATCCTATTCATTCCTCATTCCTGGGATTTAGCATATTAAGACCTGGGTATACTAACTCAACACATCCAGATCTAAGCCTTCCTCATTTGATTCAGCAGACCCTCAGTTCCCATGGGGTGTTGATCTGTGAGTGCCTTGTGTGGGGCCTGGATGAGGTTGGTTGATCTATTTGGAAATGTCTTTTGTGTGAAGTGTATCCTTGGGCATGTGGAGGTATTATTGATTTGAGAAAATGCTCAGTAACTGATTTACTATCTAAAAAATTTAAAGTTCTGAAAGTTTAAGGTCTCTTGCCAAAAAGAGGTTTTAAACCTAACACCTTAATTTTAATGGAGAAAGGGAATGACAAGCCCTTCCCACCCAGAACAGGTAATCCAATTCCAACCAGCAGCTATGTTTAAACAATGTGTCCATTTACACTTGAATGGCTTCACCTTTTGATAGCCTGAGAGCAAGTTTACATGTAAACAAGTTTACTCTCAATTCCTTGGGCAGAAAAAAAAACAAGGTTTAAAATTATTAGATTTTAAAATTTATTCTTAGAAGTGTAAAAGTTTGTTAATTAAAAAAAAAAAAAGCAACAACAACAACAACAAAAAAAGGAGATTGAAAAACCTGAAAAAAAAAAAAAAAAAAAGACCTGGGTAAGTCAAGGTCCTATTCATTCCTTATTCCCAGCACATGGATAAAGATAAGAAATCAGTACTGATAACAGTCTCCGACATGTTGGGAGGCTGTTTCCGGGAGACAGCCTAGCCAGTCACCTTAGACTCAGCTGACATTAATTTAAAGGTCTTCCATGTGCATTCCCAGGGGGCCCTCTACACAGCTTAGTGATTCTTAACCCCCAGATATCAGAAAATGAGTGGGATTTCCCAGTTATCATAATGACAGGGAGCAGTATGGGCACTGGGTGGATAGGAGCCAGTGCTGCAAACTTCCTACAATACATATGACAAAAAAAACAACAACAACAAGAATTACTGCACAAAATGCCCATAGCACTCCCATGTTTGGCAATACTTACAGTCATCTTATTGACTCCTAGTTGCACAGTTGCATTCCCACTGGTAATTGCCCTAACACTTTTTCTGCTCTTCTCAAACCATTCAATTCCTGCCATAATTCCATATTTTTGTTTTCTCAGACTCTCATATCATTCAAGGAAAACTTACTCAAATTTTCTTCCTTTTCCCCTTACAATTCTGTATCTGTACCTAACCTGTTCTCCTTCCTCTCCTCTCAGTGAAAGACATCTTTCATCTCCCTTCAAGTAGAACAACTCCACCCAAGGCTTTGGTCTCATCCCATCCCATCCTACCCCATCCCATCTCATCCCATCCCCAGCTCTGCCTCTGCCATCTTTAAAGCCTTGCTAGTCCAACCCTGGCCATTGTGGCTCAGTTAGTCGGGCATTGTCCTGTACACCAAAAGGTTGCCCTTCCAATTCCCAGTCAGGGCACATGCCCAGGTCACAGGTTCAATCCCTGGTAGGGGACATGCAGGAGGCTGGCGATCAATGTTTCACTCTCACATGAATGTTACTCTCTCTCTCCTTCTCCCTCTCTCTCTCCAAAAATCAATTTAAAAATCTTTAAAATTATACTCCTGCAACCTGCCCTTCTTCCCATCTGTCTTTTCACAACCAAATACTCATACATATCCTAACAAACCCTAGCAAAATGATCATTCCTCTGTGAACCTTCCATAATCTCTATTTTTACTCTTTAATTACCTTCTGCTTTGCTTTGGAATGTATGTCTCTCAATCTTGTATTAAGGTTGTTGTCCCTCTGCCCAGCCTGCATCCTCTCCAATCTGGGATCCCTCTCACAATCCAGGACTGCTGGCTCCCAACTGCTCACCTGCCTGCCTTCCTGATTGCCCCTAACTGCTTCTGCTTGCCAGCCTGATCATCCCCTAACCACTCCCCTGCTAGCCTGATTGATGCCTAACTGCTCCCTTGCCAGCCTGATTTCTCCTAACTGCCCTCCCCTGCATGCCTAGTCATCCCTAACTGCCCTCCCCTACAGGCTTGGTCACCCCTAACTGCTCTTCCCT